CTTTCCCTTAGCCTTTGATACAATTCTTCTATGTAGTTACAGTATCATTTGTACCATGAATACAATACGTAGTTATTCGTCATTTCAAAATGGTTAATAGACTTGCGAAACTAATCATTATGCAATACTATAGGCACCAGGGCAAATCAAAACAAATTATTAACCAACTAAATAGATGATTGGTGAAATATATATTCTGTTTTATTCCGAATAATCTCTGATAATTTGTCTGTGTGCAGATGTTTATTCGATTCTAGCCTCTCAGACTCAGTTAGTTAGTAAGTTTGTAATTTTAGTAATTAAAACGAGACATTTCGCCACCGATGTATCACGGTGTTGCTAGACGAACTGGTTATGCATAATGGTGACGTATCGGTATCGCTATACATTACATTGTGAAAAGGTTACTGGTTTGAGAGGACATTTTACAATCTATTAATCTAACCGATGTACAGGGCGCAAGACTTGTAAGATGAGCTGATAAATTGTTGCTATCCACATACAATCTCAGATCAGAGAGACAGTTTCGTCGGAAAATGGGGAAAATCGCTAGAAAGAAGTTCAATAGACTGGTGATAAAACGTTGTAAATTAGTGGGGGCTGGGGGAATGTTTGTATAAATGCAAGCCTTTTCAAATCTTGCCTTTTACTATACCCAACATCATGAGGTCATCATTGTCTCTTCGGCGTTGTGATTAATTGCAATTTTATGTCCCACTTGTCGTTTGCATGTCTAAACATTAATGCACACGTTTGTGTGTATAGAGGCTATTTGATCAGTCTACAAAGCCTTACTTTTGTTATACACGCATCGCGAAATAAAATCGCACAATGGCCCAGGAATGCGGGTCCTAGGCCAAAGAATAAAGACCAGGAACGGTCCGAGGACCCTTAAAAGATGGCTTCTAATCACTCCGTAAATTATATGAGTTAAGAATCTTTGTTGACATGGGATTACGTATCGATCCATTTACGTAAACTTTTCTTCGAAGACGAAAAGGAGCTCTTTACAGCAGATCGATATTTTCCCAAAGACCTATTACTTTAAGGGAATCCTCGGCCGACACCCCACCTTTCACTGCTACCTTTTCATCCTTAATTAGCATAGTTCGCATATAAAAGAATCATGCTTTGAAAAAGAAGGAAGAATTTTTCGCGGACACCATTCCTTTGAATGTTCCCTATTGAAGAAAATTGCGACCTCGAGATTTTTAAAGCGCAGTGGCGGATCCAGGGGGGGGGTTGGGGGGGGTTGCAACCCCCCCCTTGGGCGGCCCCCCCCCCCCCCAAAAAAAAAAAAAAAAGGAAAAAAAAAGAAAAAAAGAAAGAAAAAAAGAAAGAAAAAAGAACGCACGTTGGAGAGAAACCCTTTCAAGTGCAAATATTGTGAGAAGATATTCAACTCATCAGGTAACTTAACCAAACACATGATAACTCTGGATATAACTGTGTATTTAACTGTTACTTGATTTAAAAAGACGTTATCATGCACTGCTTTTTATGGTCTCCATTGTGTTAATAGATGCCAGGAAAACATCACTTACGGGGTTCAAATAAACACCCCAAAAAAAATCGGCTCGCCGCTTCGCGGCTCGTGGACGATGCTCCGCATCGTCATTATTTTGGTCAACCCCCCCCTTAGCAAAAAGCTAGATCCGCCCCTGAAGCGCGACGAAACATTGCACATATTTTTGGTAAATTTATTTTTAGATGTCTGAACTGAGATTGCCCCGTGAGCTCTACAAAGGGATGTCGGATTGAATAATCAATTTGAAATGAAACACTTTTCAATTTGCTCATCATCGTCCCTGTATGTTTTCGAAAATTAAAAACGTGGATTGGAGGGTCTCAGGGGAGCTGGGTGTTTCGTTTGCGTTTCGCCTCGCCCAATAATTGAAAAGTGTCCGATAAATGAAGAGTATCTCTTTCTGTTCGCTAAAGAGAAACACAAATTGATGATGGCTGTGATTGCTCTGAACTGCAATTGTTATCCTGAAGATGATTGGTAAATAGTACTTTTAACTGACAACCTTGTGTTTGCTTTTTTTTTATTTGCGTCATGGGAGACACCTTACAATGAGAAGACTTGAGGGAGCATCTTGAGTTGGACAGGCGTAATAATGGCTGTCAGAAATTTATTAGAAATGTAGGTCAATTGTTTGTCGCTTACGTTATTGAACATAATTAAAGAAACTATTATCCGACACAGAAAATGTCGCCGCATTAAAAACAGCTATCAAATTGAAAATCAAATAAAGAATCACGGTCACGTAAAAGAACATACATTGACTGAAGCAAGTGTTTCATTCTTAATATGAATTTAAATGAATTAAAATCTAATAATGTAGTTATCATTCATGTAAAGAATCATGTACTAGTATCGCTTAACTCATTTACACAAGTTTGAACACGCAAGGTCAAGTGCTATAATATGATTGTCAACGCACTTCATGATGTTATATGAAATTTAATAATCGTATTGCCTGACGCAGGTGGCGACCCCGCAACACACGCACACGTTTCTTCATGCTTACGTCACAGCCTAAGATTGTTTAACACATCGGCGTATATATAGAGGTGTGTGCGTGTGTGGAAGTGTGTGTAGGGGGTGGGGGGGGGACGGCGATCGAACTACCATAAAAAAATTGACACGGGCAAGCCAGTTGTTTCCATATGTTACCAAGTATTGCGGACCGATGAACTCAATTAACATTGAAAGTATCCTTGGTATTTGGACTGATGAAACAAGCTCAAGTTGAGAGATCAACTTGATCATAAAATCATCAGTTCTTGATGTAGTCAGTAACGTAAGGGACACAATATCTTGCACATGCTCATCTTTCGATTGTGGGCGGCGGGGGGGGGGGGGTGGCACATCTTTCATCTTTCGGAAATCCGTCCACTTTGTGGGCACTTTCGCGGTGGCTACCCCATAACAACAAAGCTGGCATCACCATTAAGAGCGCCTGCTGGATGTTTTACACTGTAGTATGTAAATGGTTGAACTGATACAAGATCCCAGTTTCTACACGGCCCAGATTGCTTCGCATGTAGGTTTAAAAGAAATCTTTTGATTTAGGTCAGAGTTCTATTTAAGGTTGAAATTTTGTCAATATTTGGAGCTCCGTCGTAGTATCCATTGCAATCCCCTTTGTTCCTATATAGGTTTGTTTGTACTGTAGAAACCAACAGTTGGGTCAACTTTCTCGGTTTGTATGGTAAGAAGAATGAGTGGGTGGTTTTGTAAAGGTATATAGGTCGAAACAGTAGAACAAAAAGTTTTCAAAGATGAAAAACTGCGGGTTATAAAGTCGATTATATTTTGGAGTTGTGGTCTCGAATAATATGAAGACTATTTTCCTTACGATTATGACAATGACGTTATCTCATGCTGTTTAGATTGAGAAAGAGAGGGGGAGAAAAAGAGAGAGAAAGGGAGAGAGAAAGGGAGAGAGAGAGAGAGAGAGCAAGGAGAGGGAGGATAGATAGAGGGGGTAGAAAGAGAAGGAGGGGGAGAGGGAGAGGAAATTGAGTTGAAATTAGAGGAAGAGCGGTGGACGATAGAGAGGGAGGGAGCGAGATATTTGGGGAGGGAGTTGACGATACAAAGATTTCAAAATGTGTTTATACGTGTAGTAACAATTTTTTTAAATGAGAACAACATAAATACAAACACTGAAATAAAAACTGTAAGCCATAGAAATGATAGAAGTTTACTTGTTTTTGCATCCTGACTTCTTTGAACCACTGACCTTCTCTACGGCGTCTCTTCCCACCTTTACCACGTGACCTCCCAACCGAATAAGGCAAACTGCATGCAGCTTCCATGATATAGTCCTACATTGCGTGTCGACGAAGGGTAATATTTTGATAAAGTGTGGGAATTTTCGACTTATTTACAGCTGATAACCATCTCAAGTGCGTGCTGACGTTCTTTGAACCGTTACTACACCGCCATTGACTGCCTGCCCCTATTATCAGAAGACAGACCTACGAAATAATCGTCATTACGTGTATCACCTGCAGTTCCGAAAAGTTTTAATAATTGCAAAGTTATTACAACGGGCGGGGGTTTCGCTACTCCACCAGCGACAATGACAATCAAAACGGATTTAATCAGATTTTGATATTTGATGAAAAGATTAGTGGCATGTTCGTGGACTGTTCCTTAAAGGTTTTTGAATTATTCTGCGTTCGATAGAATGAGTGGTTGAATGGAACCCAATTAATTTGTAGACGTAACTTGCGGTCGTGCATTGTCACAAAATATGTATAAGAATCATAAAGAGAATTCAGAGTTTGGGCATACAAATATCCGTCATAATTTGTCACCTTCTTTGCGTGCGTTGTCGTCTGATCCGAACCCACACACCGAGACATAATTGTTATTGAAAACATGAATTCCTTGATTCCATTATAATGAAAAGAGAAGAAAATAACAACCTTAAGACTTGTTATGATTGCAGATTGTAATTTGTTTGCTCAAATGGCTCAATCCGAATTGAACTCTTGATGTGTATTTGTTTGTGAGAACGAAGGGGTTTTACCCCCTACAGTGGGAGGTCGCAAAATAAACGCTCCGTAGGGGTATTTTTGCAGATTTCTGCCATATTTTGGGGCCCCGGCGGCTCGGTTATCAAAGCAACATATCGTGGGAGAAGAACGTGGAATATGAGAGTGGAAATGGATAATGTGGTCCATCAGATGAAGACACACCTCCAAAACCGAATTATACCGAGTCGAAAACTCGCACAAAAAGAAACTCATTGCACTATAAATGAAGGGTTCCCATATTTATTTTATAACAAATACAACGAAACAGTTGACCTGATAAAATTTAAATATAGCAAATATATATCATTTATTAGGTTCTTAGTTGAGAATATCATTTGTCTCCATGTAGGAGTTTAAAAAGAGTTCCATTTTGAAGCCTGTAATAATAATTAACAAAAACAACAGAGTTGGAAAATTTAAAAACCAAAAGAAGAAGACAAAAAAGCATGACAAGCAATTTCGATTATTCGGACAACGGTCCAATGAGATTCTGTAAGTTGTCGTCTTGGTTAAAAGCAACACAGAAAAAAGAATGGAATCTAGATAGATATATAAACCCACAATTTAATAAAATGCAAAATATATTTAGTCATCTCGGTACTATGGTGTCTTTAAAAACATATAAATAGAGTTTCCTTATTTAAAACGTGTTGGCATATATAGTCACTCTACTAAAACTGCAGTTTAGCCCAGATATGCTATAAATACTCGGAGGGGGGGGGGGGGGGGGGGCATGAACAGGTGAGTTAACCTCCTAACACCTCGAAGTGACGGATAAATATTCTAAATCTAGGTTGAGAATCACCCTTTCAAATCAAAGGCAGGTGGGGAATTATGAACTTGTGAAGTAAGATTTTCGTTCTTCCATTAAGCGTTCCCGCGGGACTGTACAGAGGCATGTGTCCAGATCAACCTTAGAAAGCTCTGGCAATGATCTCTAAATCAAGAGAGTGTTTTTTAATTGCCTCTACCTGTTTTACGGCCCATGGTGTCCAATCTTGGTTTGATAAAAGGTAATCATAAGATCTTGAAATGGAACGGCATGTCGAGATAACGAGTGACACTACCGCTATGGCTCAGTGGTGAAACAGAGATCTCGTAACCGGGAGGTCCTGGGTTCAATACCAAGTCGATGGGCAAGTGCCCTTTGGTAAGGTATTAATCTTCGATATTAAGTCTCTAGGAGAGGATGCCATTGTTGCTATTTATCATAATGAATTATAACAAGATAAAACTGATGAAAATTATGAAACTGACCGATCTCCTAACTTTCCAATTAGGTGTCAGTTTATTTTGTTATTAGGGCGAAATATTGCACGGTCCACACATCGCGATTTCTACAAAATATGGCGTAGATGCTAACCAACTTTCACCCGTGCTTTCGTTATTTCAATAAATCGCCATGTTTGGACCATAACAGGCCTAATATGGACAATGTAATCACTGTCAAAAGAGTACAAATGTAATAATTTGTCTCTCTTTTTGTTAATTTCTTTTTTCTAGCCCTGGACACGGATAATGCCCCCGTCAAGAAGCAAGTATTTGAGCTGCTGTCAGCTCTGTGCATGTACTCTGCGGATGGGTACGCACGAGCTATCGATGCCTTGGGACATTATAAGGTAAGAACAATAACACTTTCATCTTTCTTTTTCATTTATCCGGAGAAAGAAAAAAGTAAAGCAAATCAGCAGACATGTTTACCCTATTGTATAATTTGGTAAAATGTCATGATCTAAACGGTTCGGAATTCATTCTTTCAGTGCAACATATTATTCTGATCAGGAAAAAAAACAGTTAGACATTAATTTCGTAAAGCCCTTTACAGTTGTGTAAATTTGAGGGAAACTTTAGTGAAAAAAACAGTGGCTAAGTTGTGCTTCCTTTTATAAATGCTCGTGAGAAAGTGTCAGACCTAATGATTGTCGACTGCGTTTCTTGCAAGCATTAGCCGAAAAATGCCGTCAAATGTCACCTACTAAAGCAGTATTCAATATGCCGTGTACATGTATTTAACCTGGTGATTTTGATGCCCCAAACAATTCGTGCATATTTTTGTCACAGTCTAAATATGTTGAATAACACAGTTACTTTTTTCCTTCTAAAACCCTTATTGTAAGTTGATAATCAAAACACCTTTCATCGGACACAGACCGATTATGCAAATTGCTTTATCCAGACTGACCACTTTTCTTTTCTTTCTGGGGTCTCCCCCGTAATATAAAGCAAAGTCACAAGACTGCGAGGTCGCACATCATTTTGTGCTACAATAGATTTTGCAATAGATTTTGCAATAGATTTTGCATTTAATTTGTTCAGCCGTCCGGTTAGCAATCAGAAATCGGTGTTTACATGTTGGTGTATGCAGAGAACTCTCTCTCTTCCTCTCCCTCTTTTGTCTTTTCTCTCTCTCTCTCTCTCTCTCTCTCTCACACACATACTCACAAAAACACACCCACGTTTGCAAACCCAAACACGCACACTCACAATTCTCTCTTTCTTAAACTTTCCTATACCCCTCTCTCACGCTCTCTCTTCCCCCACCCCCCCTCTCTCTCTCTCTCTCTCTCTCTTGCTCACACACACACACACACACACACACACACACACACACACACGAACACACACTCTCTCACTCTCTCTCTCTCTCTCTCTCTCTCACTCTCTCTCTCTCACTCACATGTTCTTGCTCTCTCTCTCTCTCCCTCCCGACCCCTTTCCCTCCCGACCCCTTTCCCTCTCAGTTTCTAACTCAATATCTCTACTCTTCTCTCTAACAATCCACGGCTAGTGTGTAATTTCACTCTTCGTGTATTGTTCAGTAACTCCTTGGTCCAACTGGCCTTCAATAAGCTGCTATGTTTTCGATTATTTCTCAAAATAGAAATGTGAATGAACGAATAAATTATACAGTCCAAAATTGCTTGTTTATTCAGAAAACCCAAGACTTGCAGCATATTGTTGCGAGGATTAAGACGGATTTTGATTGTTGTTGACTGAGAGTGATAAAAATATAAATGAAACAGGAAACAGTATGAAATTAATTTCTTTATTTGTATTGTTTTCTCCAAAATATCATTTCCATGATAATTGGTTAATCGAAGAATAAAGAAATAAAAGTCTCTATAAAATTTTCGCATCAAGTGATTTTACTTTGTGTATTTGAGGCTTTGAATGAATCAGTTCGGAATAAGACAGTTTACATACTTACTTTAGCACTGTTAGTTCATTCCTTTTATCGAATATCTTTTATCAAATATATAAAGCCATTGTTTTGACTATATCTTTGACTGTATATTGAATTCAAAATAATATCAGAGCTGTCGAATCACTTCTCAAAGTATGTAACAAAATTTAGCTGAAAATTATATACATATGTATATCATGTGAGATATAACCTCTCCTCGATCCTCGTTTCATCCCCACGGTATGGAACAATTCTAAGAATATTAAACCTCATTCTTATCCCAATTCTCGATCCATAATTCCTCCCCAGTGACTCTACATTCAAGACACTTCCATGTTTTGATAAGTAAACCATCCGAGGTCGCATTTATGAAACGCGAAGGGTGATGGCACAGATTTGTCTTGAACTCATAAAGCTCAACTTTCGCTCGTTCTATTAACCTTTTAAATCGGATCAGGAAAAGTCATACCACTTTGAGGAACGAATGTATTACGACACATACGTGATGGTATGTGAATTTTGTTAAAGGAATTCGGTTGTCAAGAGCCAAGAACTCTTTCGAGTAAATCTTTACAGTAGTTGAGCTGTGAATAACGTTATCTTAGAATGGCTAAAAGTGCTTCTCAAGAAAACGCCATCGTTTACTCTATTAAAAGAATAACACTGGGCATGACTGGTATCTTTAACTCTTTACAATCTTCTAAAGATTCACAAGTTTCAAGAAACAGTTTTTAATTTGTGTCTAATTAGGTCCCACTGTCTTTTATTTGCAAATGTCAAATTCCCTGCCTGTTTAAATGAGTTAAAAATGCTTCTATTTATAGAGGTTGAATATGTTTTCTTTCCTGAAAATGCTTAAATTACAAATTAGATTGTGAGCGAATATTTCACCTGGTGTTTGTTTTTTGTTGTTTATCTTGATGCCCCAAACATTTTTTTTTTAAATATGATTTTCGTCAAACCCACATTGCAACCTTTAATATTGTATGCATTATGAGGTTAAACCACCGTACGCCCTTCCAATTTGGAGACCCCCCCCCCCAAAAAAAAAAAAAAAAAAAAGTACGAAAAATTCGTCTTATTAACATTGAGACCTCTGGACTGCCTCAAATTACAGAAAAAAGGGAGAGCAATGTTGACCGTATTTGCCGTATGCCCTTGATTGATAATTGATTGTTTTCCCATTACAAATGTTTGCGCAAACTTTTGATAGTAAAAATTGAAAACTTATACAAAGATGAAGTCCTTATTCACTTAGAAGAGTTACTTGAAAAAGAAAAAAACAAGTTATAATCTCATAAATTATATTCAATTAAGACCTATATTTGCCGTTGATTAAGGGCGCTCACCACTACGCCTCTTTCATAATCTAACGGCAATGTTGTGTTTCCAAATTTAGGCACTTATTGGCTTTCCGTCTTTACAGTTTTATGTCATCGTTTTACGTTTTAGTTTTATGTCATCGACTCCTTAAAAAAAAACTATTGTATACTGTATCCTCTAACATTCGGAATTATGCACGAAGACCTATTTTAAGTTAAGAGTATAACTTTCCCACGTTTCGCACACCTTTTTAAAGAAGGTGTCTTGTCTCTCAATAAGAAAAGTCAGAACTAGGGCGCTTTGTCGAGATTACACGAGACCAAATTGCAAGATTTTGGGCAGACATTGGCAGACTTTCTTTAACAGAGCTTTAAATAGTTGTTTAGAGACATGAACAGAAGTTAAGAAAAAACGGCTCTGACTGGCAGCTGGAGGCGATGCCGGGGGCCACTTTGAGTATCTTAAGTGTGAAATCTCAGGTTGACAAGAGGTCTCCTGTCTAGAGCCACTTGTCCAATTGTGGGAAAGCCGAAGGGACATGATGGATACACAAAGCACAAGATGTATATACGATTAGAAATGCTGTCTCGAAATGGTTCCTAAAGAATGACTCTAAAAGGGAAAATCAGTATGCACAAAGTAAATTCGTTTGTTAATCCGCCGAACAAAACGGAGTGAAAAGTGGCGGGGATTTTCGGTTATGCAATGATGACGATTCGTGAAGCTTGTTAAGTCTTATTGGCAGAGCTTTACCCAGCTAACTGATCAAACTGCATGTAGTCTTTCGCTTTAGCGCCATGCACTTAATATCTTGATTATAAAAGGCATGCCACACTCATGAAATGAAATATGCATGCAGAAAGAAAGTGGAAACAAAATACATCACTGGACATACGACTTCAAAGTCAAAGTCATAGGCTTTCTTGGGACGCAAGTTCGCTAAGTGGTCGTTATTCTGTATTTATTGTTCATTAATTAAATAACTTCATATCTAATTTGGACTTCTACATCATATTTGAAGTGAATCACTTCTTCACGATGATTATGGTCTCGGGCTGAATTGGACATGTCTTTACAGTAGATCGGACACGTCGGGACAATAATAGGGACTTTTAGATTTGCGTGGACTAATACGTGTGACGTCCATTCAAGGCAGTGCTTTAAAAGGACGTCGAGCGTAGCATAGACCTATTGTCTTCGTGCGAATCTAAAAGTCCCTAATAATTACCGGTTGCGTATCATAAAAAAGTGTAACCTAAATTCAATGACCCGTAAACAACTTTACCCGATCCGCCCATGAAGAAAACATATTCATGTATCTCTCTACCGAAATATGATTTGCTCGGGCCAATCTCCAGTTTTGCCTAATTGGCAAGGTTTACCTACTCATCAATCCAATTAAGGTGTCTTTGAATAAATATCCAGCCTCTTCGGCGCCACCCTGTTGTGACACAAGCAGAATGGGATTTTCGAAACAGTTTTGAAGTTGGACAGATCTTTTGGATGATCCAATATGTATTCCGATTGACATGCACCTGCTGGGATGGTCTCTTTCGGTTAGCCGAGTTTTGCTGATAATCGACCTTATTAATTCTGACTCATTGGAACATTCTATTTTCCTAACTAAAATGGCGTGTTGAGACCACAGACTTTGTGTCTTAAGTTGAACTCGCAGTAAGAAACGGACTGTAACAGAACTTATCTCAAGGTATATCATACAAGCATAATCAAGCTATTGTTTGACTTGGTGGAACGATAAATTGCAGCTTATAACTTTAAATGCATCATAAAAGTTATACATTTTCAAAGCGCTTCATTTAGAAAAATCATTTAACATATTTAAGAGAAAATTGGCAATTGCATCCATGTGGAAATGGCGCGTAAATGATTGTGAATGGAATAAGTACATATCATCCGGTACTTATGTGGCGTCACTTTATCTTCATGCATCTCCAATGCGCATGTCAGCGCAGCAGGTTTTGGTATAGGTTCTACTCGAGACCCCTTAGCACTCCGAAGGGTCTAGTTTTCAATTTCGTTGTATTTATCATTCTTGCACTGTTAGGGGTATCTTCTCATAGGAAGCAACTATATCGAAGATTCATTGATACT